TCTTCAAATACTGTTCATATTCTGAGGGACTAGAGAGTTGAGTCTGTAACATGTGAATTTTGGGGGGAACACATTTCAGCCTGTAACAGGTGACAATTTTTAAAGCTTGAATATAAGCTTGATATAAGTTGATATCAGTGGTTGCCTCCATGGCAAGACAGGAAGCCTGGGAAGTCACAGGAAGATTTACCTTTAATTGTATACTGTTTTGGGGCAGCCCGGGTGGCTCGGTGGTTTAGCGCCGCCTTCAGCCCAGGGCACGATCCTGGAGACCCGGGATCGAGTCCCACATCAGGCTCCTTGCATGGAACCTGCTTCTCCCTCTGCCTATGCCTCTGCCCCTCTCTCTGTGTGTGTCTCTCATTAATAAATAAATAAAATTTAAAAAAAAAAATTGTATACTGTTTCGCCTTGAGGTTTGTTACTGCAGATATTCATCACATAATCAAAAGTGAAAGGAAGGGGTACCCGGGTGGCTCAGTGGTTGAGTGTCTGCCTTTGGCTCAGGGCGTGACCCCAGGGTCCTGGAATTGAGTCCTGCATCGGGCTCCCCTGCTTCTTCCTCTGCTTGTGTCTCTGCCTCTCTATCTCTCTCTGTGTCTCTCATGAATAAATAAATAAAATCTTTTTTAAAAATGAAATAAAATTATTGCATTTATTGCACATCCTTATATTCAGCACCTTTGTTTGTTTAGGAGAGAGAGAAAGAGAATAGGGAGGGGGTGGGAGGGGGTGAGGGGCAGAAGGAGAGGGAGAAAGCAAATCTTAAACCAGCTCCATCCACACTGAGCTCAATCTGAGGGCCCTGAGATCATGACCTGAACTGAAATTAAGAGTTAGATGTTTAACCAGCTGAGGCACCCAGGCACCCCTCAACACCTATTTATTGAATAAAATTAAAATTAACACAAACACAGCGTGACAGTCCACTGTACCTTTGGAATTCGGATCTACTTGAAAGTCCTAGATCAGTACAGGAATGGTGCCTGCCAAGGTTTTCTTGCATAACTTATCCTCAGTAAACTAGTCTCCCCCTATCAACTGCAAATTCCAGTGGGCCTGGGCAAGGACAGCCTCACCCTTTTACCTCTGGGCCCACGTGCGGAGCTGGCACTCAAACGTAAGCTATATGAATGAGCGGAGCAGCAAGCCCAATAAGCGGAGCAGCTTTGGGGAACGGGGTTCTTCCTATGTGCTGGTTCTGTAGAAAGTGGCAGGGACGGGAGTGCCCAGGGGAGATGCTATGCTTTGAATAATTTACTAAAACCAAATAAAGATAAAATATTTAAGGGGAAAATCGCTTACCCTAATTTTCCCTATTCCTTATTCTTTGGGAGGAAAAAAGAAGATTCTGCTTCCTTATTGGGTTCTTTTAAAATAATTCAACTCCATACAACTCTATTGCTTTTCCATATTTGGGGAGGAGAGGTAGCTAGGAAGCAGTGGCATGCAGATTTCACTCGCAAATCCATTCACGAAATTCCCTTCTCTGCCTCCCAATTTACCTCCACCTCCACCCTGACACTGCCTCTCACCTCTTGTTGTTGTAGGCCTGGGGTTTGCAGAGAAGAACTTAGCTTCTTTGTTTCCCCTTTGAGAGCACTGGACATTTTACGGCTCCCTCCTGAGAGTCTAAGAGAGGGATGGAAAAATGTGGCTGCTGTCTTTTCTTGGGAACAGTGGCAGCTTCACCCGACCCTGAAGGCACTGCAGTGCCCAGGAAACCAGGTCAAGTTGAAAGCACAGTTCAGATGAGGCCGAGCATGGGTTGTTAAGTGAGAATGAATGAATGACAATGTTAGGTCCTCTGGTTCTCATGCAGGACTGAGGTTGTCCCAGGAAGTGCACTTAGCAGGTTGGGGCTTGTGTCAGCGCAGGCCTGCCTCTCACTCTGGCATTTGGTACTAAGTACACCAACAATCTGTGGTGCTCTCTCCACACTACTGCTCCCTGCTGAGTCTGGAGACCCCCCCTCCCCCCACTTTCTCCATTTGGCTTCATCCAAACCGGGAGGTAACTAGATGCCTGTGTCACTGTAGACCCACAGAAGCAGCATATTTTCTTAAAGGCTTCCAATTTTTCAGGAAATCGAAAATTCCTTTAAAAAAAAGATTTTATTCATTTATTCATGAGAGAGCCACATAGAGAGAGAGGTGGAGACACAGGCAGAGGGAGAAGCAGGCTCCATGCGGGGAGCCCAACGCAGGACTCGATCCCAGGTCTCCAGGATCAGGCCCTGGGCTGAAGGCGGCGCTAAACTGCTGAGCCACCCGGGCTGCCCAGAAGCAGCATATTTTTGTTAAAAGCTGCAAACTGTTTATGCTCTTAAGAGTAAACCATATGTACCACATACATAGTTTTAGATCTAATGAAAGGACACAGTGGTGAAAGGTGAATGGCATCCGCCCTTAGCTGTGAGAGACAGGGGGTGAAAACAGACTTATGTTCTCATCACAGAAGGCTTTACTTTGCTAACTTTATCCTTCAACATATTGGTACATTTTCTCAACAGGAATGACAGAACAGAAAAGCAAATTCTGTATGAGTAATTTTTATTTATTTTTTGAGGTTTTATTTTTATTTGAAGTTTGAGGTTTTATTTATTTATTTGAAAGTGAGAGAGATATATATAGAGAGAACATGAGCCAGGGGGAAGGGGCAGAGGGAGGTGGAGAAGCAGACTCCCCACTGAGCAGGGGGCCCAACGTGGGACTCGATCCCAGGATCATAATCTGAGCTGCAGGCAGACCCTGAACTGAATGAGCCACCCAGGTACCCCTGCTTGAGTCACTTTTAAATGATCAAACACCAAAATTAGTATCAGAAGAAAGAGAGTTTAGGGCTACGGGAAGATTAAAGATGGATAACTAAGATCCGTATGGCTAATATAATTCAATTACAAAATATACAATACCACTAGACTATACAATCTGCTTGAGGGCAGGAGCCAAGTTCTTATCACTTTCTATCATCTTCTAGTATCTACCATGATGTTTTGCCCACAAAGTGAGTCTATCACAAATTTTAATTCAACGGAAATTATTTGAACGTATCCTTTGTGCAGGGCAACCTGAGATCCTAAGTAGAATCTCTAGGACAGCCTTTGGCTTGGAGGAATACCAGACACTGTGATTGATGGCAATGGGACTACAGCCATTGTAAAGTAAGGCTTAAAAGAAATTGGGAAACATAGATGGCCTCCAGGCCATATTTATAATCAGGGCAGAGTGGCCAGCTCTGGACAGCCTATTTCATTGGATAGTTAGCAGCAATCAAAAAATTCAAATAGAAGGCAACTTTAAAAAATACTTTAAAAGAAATGGCAAATACTAATGCTCGTTTGGTATGGATCAAGTGTATCTTAATTCATATTAGCCCAGGTCCCATGGATATTTGGTACAGGCAAAAGATGTTTCTTCTGACAGAATTCTGGAAAATGATGGTCCATTTAAAAATAGTTTATTATTGTTAATAAAGGAACTTATTTCAGACTTTATGTCACAGAAATCAGGCATGACTATTAAAAAGAACACAAATGTCTGGAAAAAAGATTACAATGGGTCAATTCTTGGAAAGAAAGCTTGATCAGAATGGAAATGTGACAATGTTCCAGGATTATGTGTGTTACTAAAAGCAAAGAATATGACAACTATATATATTTTTATATGATAACTATATTAAAAGAGAAGAAAAATAAAAAATAAAAGAGAAGAAATATAAGCAAGTATGGGATTGATTCCCAGTGGAAGTACTATTTAAATGGTGTGGAGGGTCAATTGGATTCAATTCTGGGGTTTCAGTTTTGTGGAGCTGTTTCTTTCTCACACCCTTGCATGATTTATAACATTTTTGAATGATAGTCTTGTCATCTAATAAATTTTCTTTTGATTCCTGAAGATGCATGTTTGTCTCTGTCTTAATTTTTTTTTTTTTTGGCTCCGTCTTAATTTAACCTGGATCAATTTTTGTGGAATAAAGAAGACGATGTGGATTCTGTAAGGTGAAGAACTGACCAGCCAGTTTCAGGCCCTGAGCTATCAAATCTGATTCTTAGAATCCACGTTCTCAAGTCTGGCTCTTTGTTTAGAGAAAGAAAAAAACCAATAGGGTGGCTTGAGGGAGACATTTGCCCATCTTCACTGAAGACTGATGAGCAATCTATTACTGAGGATCCTGTTGAGAAATTTGTGAACAATTGAAAGAGTTTATCTGATGGCCGACCAGGTGTGAAATTTAGCATCGAGTATTTGATTCTTAAAGGAAGAAGATTTATTTGGGAATTGTGAGTTTCCTTGTGTGGAAAAGGAGAACGTATTCCCTTTATTCTGTTTCCATACAAAAATCAACAACCCCAACCACATCTAAGTAAGAAGGAGAGTTCTCTGCTCAACAAAGTTAACATTCTAGTTCTTCCTTTTCCTTCCTTGTATCTTTGATATATGGCTGCCTGTGTGTGTGGTTGTGTGTGTGTGTGTGGTTGTGTGTGTGTGTGTGTGTGTGCACTTAGAGCCTAATGGCCTGAGGTTTTGCTAAATGTATGCCTTTAATTTTTATCTGATATTCTTCTGTCATAAAAACCTATCTTGTCTTTTCTATCCCAATACAAAGCAGATGCATGACAAATGTTTGTTGACTCTGGTCCTTCTTCTAATAACTGATGGGAAATCCAGGAAAAGAATGTGTTGTTTTCTCAAATACTGCTCTGTAAATCTCAGACGATAAAGTGCCAGCTAATCACCCCCTGGGTCCCAGGCTTTCACTGGGGCCTTCTAAAATACACAAAACTCAAGTGAAGGCATGACACCATTAGCACTACATAATTCAAGCAAACAATAAATGTGTTTACTCTGCCTGGCTACTGACCACCTGCCTTTCCATCCCACAAGGCAGGTATCTATATATAGGATCTCCTTGTTTGCATTCCTGCAGAGAATGAGCCTTTCTTTCCTTTAGGCCTCACCATCTGTGGATCTGAAAGAAGCTTGGGCCCCCCTGACAGCATGTGTCTGGTCTTACTTCTGCTGCTGGTGCTCCTGCCTCTAGGGAAGGCTGCACAGCAGAGGGATGGCCGACAAACTCAGAGCTCTGTTTCCCCTGTGATCCTAGAAAGGAATCGCAGGGAGCTCCCCATTGGCAACCACGAGGAAGCTGAGGAGAAGCCAGATCTTTTTGTTGCGGTGCCACACCTCGTAGGTGCAGGAGAAGGCCAGAGGCAGAGAGAGAAGATGTTGTCCAGGTTTGGCAGGCTCTGGAAGAAGCCTGAGCGAGACCTGCACCCATCCCAGGACTTGGTCAGTGAGCACTTCCCACCTGGGACCCATGCCCTCACTCAGCCAAAAGATGGGATGCAAATGGAGAAATCTCCTCTTCGGGAAGAGGCCAAGAAATTCTGGCACCACTTCATGTTCAGAATGAGTCCGGCATCTCAGGGGATCATCCTGCCCATCAAAAGCCATGAAGTGCATCAGGAGACCTGTAGGACAGTGCCCTTCGGCCAGGTATCTGTTCTGGAGGGAGAGGGGATCAGGAAAGGGGTGGACAACTGTAATAGGTGGAGGGTAAGGGAGGGGCTGCCAGGAGCCCGAGTCTCACCTAACTCCCAAATTTGGTCCTTGGGCACTCATTATAACATTTGCCAAGGATGATCATACTCCCCAAATTTCCGTCTAACTTTCCCTTGTTTCTTGGTGTTCTGGAAATGCTGTAAGAATGATATGATGGTACTGCCCAGATTAATAACCCTTCAGAGTGATGGCACAGAACTTTGTTTTATGGGGTTTTACTTATTTTTATGTTGGAGGGGTCCTATCCAGAGGGATAGGTGAGACTGTGCCCTCAGTAAGGAAGAGTGGGAACCCAGAGTAATAACCAGAACTTCTCTCTAGCTATTCCTCTACACTCTATTGGGATGTGGATGAGCAGGTCGGTTCTACCTGTAGATAAGGTGAGATCCATGGGACTCCTCCCCAAACAGCCACATACATATGTATCTTGGCCTTAATCCCTGTATTTCCTACCCAACTACTTCATAGGCCATCTGACCGAAGTTGCTACATCATTTCTAACATTACCGCAACAAAAAATGATTTAATTTAATTTATTTTCTCATAAGCTTTCAAAAAATGATATCAGTGTGAAATCACATTTTTTCCTTTTGGAAATGCCTCCTACTTCATGTCCCGTTGGCTGATTTGTGGTTATTCTGATGGATTCAGCGCCATTTTAAGACAAAGGGGCATTCTACTATCCACTTCCTCCCATCAGTCCTGGCAAGCCCTGCGCTCCAAATGTTAAATTAAACCGAGAAACTGCATCAGGTCCTTAAAAACGAAGATACTGAACCGAGAGCAACGCAGGGGAGAATAAAATTTTACAGTCCAATAATGCTACCCAATTAAGCAGGCAGTATTATAAGGTAATTGACTGTGTAAGGCAGTTAAGTATGCTGCCTGAAAAGGCAAGGATATGTAGCAATAAGTCCATTATCAAATAATAATGACTGCGCTGTTGGCCATGTGCAATTAGAAAATTGCTCCCAAGAATCGTGCAATTGAATTTCCTTTGAAACTCTTATGTTGAATTCTATTGCTAGTTAAATTAAAATTAAAGTGTTTGACTCATATATCTTGAAGGGCACATAAAGCTAGGTGAGGGGGTATGGGAGGGGCAAAGGTGAGGTGATGCATGATGATTTGCAGGCATATGTGCTATAACTTTGCTCCAAGCAGCTTCATAGATCTCAAAATAGAATAGAATTCATCTTGATGTTCTAATCTATTCTATGAACAGTTTAACAAACGTGTATGGAAAGTCTATTACTCATAATGCACTGTGAGACGTCGAATGATAAGGCACGTTACTTAAATAGGAAGTTAGGCATTAGAATTTTTTCAACCGGTAACATGTAATTAGATCAAATTTCTTAAAGTTTGGTATTTAAGATATAAAATATTTTCTTATTAACTTAAGGATTTCCTAAAGGCTAATTTATTTATCTACTGAACAAAAGAAATTTAATTGAGGTGCCCTTATGCCCTTATAGATTAACCATCCCTTGGATATTGTAAAATATCCAAAATTGGAAAGGTTTTCAAATTTTAGTCTGAATTATCTTCAGACTTACAGTCTATAGCTTCTGCATCATGTGTGTCAGTGAAATGACTCAAGATAACTTAATGGAGATGTGTTTGCCTCTTAGACGATCACCCATGAAGACTGTGAAAAAGTAGTTGTACAGAACAATCTTTGCTTTGGGAAATGTGGGTCTGTTCGTTTTCCTGGAGCTGCACAGCACCCCCACACCTTCTGCTCCCACTGCTCACCTGCCAAGTTCACCACGATGCACTTGCAGCTGAACTGCACTGGCTTTGCCCCTGTGGTCAAGGTGGTGATGCTAGTGAAGGAATGCCAGTGCAAGATGAAGACTGAGCATGAGCATGGACACCTCCTACAGGCAGGCTCCCACGCAGAACTTCATGCCCAGGATCCCTTCATCCCAGGATTTTCCACTTAAAAGGAGATCCCACTATTACCTTTGAAAAACAAAACTACAATAGCAAAGGTGCTGGATTACTCAGTTTGGAAGTGTTAGTGGGTGCATACTATTTTAAGGGAAAGGTGGTTCAAAATAGCAAGATAGGACAATTTAGAGGCAATGGTATTATCTAGTTATTGGTACATATTTGGATTTTAGTCTTGGCCCTGCCGTCCTGGCAGGAGTATGTTAAGGATGTGGAAGCTTTCTCCATCTCAAGGGCTTTATCTCTACATGAGGGACTTGAATCAGATGATTGCTAAAGTCCTTTCCACTACAAATGTTCCATGATCTAGTGTCTCTGAGTTCTGGTAAAAGCCCTACATCTGAATTTGGAAAAGAAATAAAGTAGACCCTAAAAATTGGCTTCTTTGATAACTTATCAAAGCACCACCCAAAATATGTCTCTAGTATTTTTAGGAAGGATTCTTTCATCTCAGACAGTGTTTTATTTGCCTTCCAGATATGCTTATTTTATTTCCATAGATGTAAGGAGTAGCTTGCTTGGTTGCCTCTTTATTTTTCTGATATTCCCCATATAAAGTTCTTAATATCAAGTCTCTGTCTTTGAAAAAGGAACAGCAATATTACTTTTAGTGGTTTTCATAGGGACGAGGAACAATCACTGGTAGCCACACAAGTATGTATATTATGGGGAACAAAAATATATGCCCCAGTACCAGGCTTAAAGGTCAATCCAGAGATGCTAATGAGGTAACCAAGGAATTCCAGTAGATGTCAAATTAAATAAACTGCAAATGATTAAAAATGGAAACAACTTATAGATGAAATTCTTTATCCATGTGCATTTTGGATTAGGTAGTAAGTTTGACTTCTATGTTTGGATGACTGGGTTTTTTGTTTTTGTTTTTTTTTTTTGCTGCTGCTGTCTAAAAACTTCATATTATGTATTTTATTCTGTAAATGCCATACTTGCAAGTTCTGAAAATATTCTGAATGCTTTAATGTATTAAATTTTAGTATATGAAGCATTGGGAAATGTCATAGAATTCAATTGTCTTAAATTTTGTTTTAATAGTTTTTATCTGTACCATAATTTAAAGGTCCTATCTGGAGACTACTTACCTGGGAGCATTTCTCAATGGTTTCAGAGGCTAATGACAATGCCCCAAGTGTTTCTTCTGACCCTTCCAGCAGTTTTCTGTTAGCAGAAAAAAAAAATCACTGTCTTTAGTGATTCCATTTCTCCTTCTATATTTATTTGTATGCATACATTGTATAGACCTGACTTTAGTTATATTTCTAGTTATATTTCTTTTTCTATAATTACTTTTTAAAAATCCACCTTAAAATTATTTTAATTATTTGGATCCTATTACTTTCAGCATTCACAAAAAGGCATTTCTCAGAATATTGATTTTTTTTAAAGGAATTGAAGTATGCTTTAATTCTATTTCTCTTTAATCACATCATCTAACCTGGTGTTCTGAAGAAGCAGATGTATTTATATTTAGTGTATATTCTGCATCAAAGTAATATAATATGTGATATACAGATACACATGTGGCATTTGCATCAGAATATATTATACCCTTTGGTGGTCAAAGACAAGCTAATTGGCCAATATATGGTCATAAGGATGATACTGTTAAGCATTAATGATATCCCAGCTGGTCAATATATTTTGGTGCCAAAAGCTATTGAGCAGCTGTCTTGTTTGCAATTGCCTAACCCTGATTATGTAAACCTATCTCTGCCAATTGGACTGTCCTTCCCCTCCTTACATGCTTGCAAATCCCTTTTATTTATCCTTGCAAATAGACTCTCAAGCCCAAGCCCCAAACAATCATCAGTCTTATTCAAACTCTGCTCTGCTTTTCCCTCATGTGAATTCAAGATGAGACAGTGGATAGTGGTATCAGAGCTTACATTCATAGAGCAGACCTCATGAAATTGCTCACGTTCATCTTTTTACCGGAAAAAAAAAAAAGGCAGTTCTCAATGGTTCAACATAATACACAGGAGTGTGGGCACCTGAAAGGAAACACACAAATATCGAAAATCTATTAAGTGCCAGATGCTATGCTGGGTCTCCTGACATAAGTTATAAGTCATACAACTTATACAATACATAAATACATATATTACACAATCTTCGCAAAAATCTTTTCTTAAAGTTTTATTTTATTTAAATTCAATTAATTAACATAAAGCGTATTATTAGTTTCAGAGGTAGAGGTCAGTGATTCATTCACTGCATACAACACCCAGTGCTCATTACATCAAGTACCCTGTTTAATGTCCATCACCCAGTTACCCATCCCCCCACTCTCCTCCAGCGACCCTCTAGTTTATTTCCTAGAGTTAAGAGAGAGTCTCTTATGGTTTATCTCTGTCTCTGATTTTTTAAAAATATTTTATTTACTTATTCACGAGAGACACAGAAAGAGAGGCAGAGACACAGGCAGAGGGAGAAGCAGGCTCCATGCGGGGAGCCCAATGTGGGACTCAATCCCGGGACTCCAGAATCATGCCCTGAGCCAAAGGCAGATGCTCAACCACTGAGCCACCCAGGCATCTCTCTTTCTCTCTCTGATTATGTCTTATTTTATTTTCCTCACCCTTCCTCTATGATCCCCTGTTTTGTTTCTTAAATTCCACTTATGAGTGGAATCCAATCCTTACAATCCTTACAAAAATCTTATAAGGTGGGTAAATACCCTATTTTACAGGTAAGAAAAATACGCCTTAAAATTTTTAAGCAACCAGACTAAAGTCATTTGGAGCATATTTTCTATTTGTATTAAAATATTTGGTCATTTATTGCGCACCAGTTTACACTGATTTCTTTGAAGTCTCCTCCTTATAGGCCTCAAGGTTGATTTCTTTTACCTCTTCCTCAGCAATCATATTTGAGGACATTGATTTTACGTCTTGAAAGAGAAATCATCCCCTGGTCAGATTCTCAGCCAAACATTGCCCTATATTAAAGAGGTGGTCATGGCAACTCCCTCATCAATCTTGATCTCATTTTCCACCCAGATAGGATTAGGGTGATAAAGAATTACTTCAAAATTGTTGTGGGGGCACCTGGGTGGCTCAGTTGGTTAAATGTCCGATTTCTGACTTTGGCTCAGGTCATGATCTTGGTGTCATGAGATTGAGCACGTCAGGCTCCATACTCAGTGAGGAGTCTCTTTGAGATTCTTTCCCTCTCCCTCTACTTTTGCTCATGCTCTTCTCTCTCTCTCTCAAAAATAAATAAATGAATCTTTAAAAAATTATTGTGAGGATAAGTGTAAGTAGCAGCACATCAGAGAGCTTTAGATTCTGTAAAATTACAGGGCTTATTTCACTCTTCTCCATTCAGGCATACTTTCTTTAAAAAAAAATTATTCTGAAAAATAGACACACAGAAAAATGCAAAGGATATTATAGCAAACACTCAAATTCTTACCACCAGTATATTTGACATTTTGTCATCATGTACTTTTGTCTATTTTTACGAAAGAAATAAACTATTTCATATATATATATAAAGTTACCTCCAAAACCATGCTAAGCTCCATGCCCCAAACCCCTGACCCCTCAAGAACATCCCCAAGATTCCTATTGCTATTTCCAATATCCTTTTATATTTTCGCAAAGGTATGTATATATCCATAAATAATAAATAGCAGTATTTTTCTATATATTTTTTATGCAGCATGTATTTATGTATCTACCAGCTATATGCAAGATATAGCTCTAGGTGCTGTGAATATGGAAAGAAAACAAGTCGGACAAGCTCCCTGCTCCTAAAGAGCTTACATTCTAGTTGGGGGAGACATGCAATTTGAGAATCAGTTGACTCATTAATCACCGAAAAGGAAAAATATCAGGTGGCTGTAAGTTGTATGTAAAAAATTGAGAAGGGGAATTTTGCTAGAGGGTAGTTACTTAGTTTGAGTCGTCCCTGAAAGGGTGACATTGAGTTTTTAATTACACTATGATGATCCGTATTGTTCTACAGTGATTTTTTTTTTCTCCACACAGAGTTCTGCCTACTTTTTATAACAGTTTTTAAAGTTTTTTTTTAAATGTCTACTTTATCTCAATTCTAGAAACTAGGCATTAAGTATTCGCTACAGAGTGGTTAACTTAGCTTTGAAAATTTATTTTTTTCAATGTACATGGTTTCTTTAAACTGTCAATTTAATTTCTAATTAAGAATGTCATGTATCTTCTTAATTTTTATAAAGAATCTATTCTATGCAAGACACTGTGCTGAGAACCCAGAGATAAGTAAAGATGAATAAGAAATATTTCCTGCTGCCCTGGAGCTTACAGCATTGTAGCAGAGAGAATATGTGCAAATTATAAAGCAATAATGATAGTAGTAATAATAGCAGCTACCAATTATTGAGCCCTTACTATGTGTTCTAAGTGCTTTCTTTTCCTATCTTCTAGAAATAGACATTTTATTCTCATTTTTTTCCCTATTTTTGAGAGTCAGAAAGCTTCATTCATTCAGTCCACGTATATTTATGGTTGTCATGAGCCTGGTCATTGTGCTGAGTATAAAGAATATAAATAAAGGAATGCATGATTATTTGAATATAATTCCTGACCTTACAAAGTTTATAGTCTGGGAACAAGTAAATAAATGTATTTGTTTCTGTAAAGCTAGAATGATGCTCTTCCTACTATGTCTCCAACCCCAAATTGAAATTCCACTGTCTTAGTGAAAACTTTCATAAGCCCTAGACAAGGTTAGTTTAGACTCTTGCATGATTTCATGGTGCTGTATTTCTTCACCTCTCAGCACTTGTTTCAGTTTATGATTATACCATTATTTGTGTCATCATTACTCAAATCATTAGCTTCATGAGAGGAGGGATCATATTGGATTTCTTTGATCATTGTAATCAATGCCTAGGAAAGTGTCCAGCAAGTAGCTGGTACTCAATAAATATTTTTTCCTGCATAAAAGAAACAATATCAATAGATGTCATATGTTGAAGATATATCATTTATCA